ATTATTAGTAGTACTTAGTTATATTAAATATTAGGGCTCATAATTTTTATTTTGAACAGGGCCTCCGATTTGCCAGGACCGGGCCTGCCTTTGACTCATGTGACTAGGAGGTTACTGGTTTATTATATTACTCCGAATTTGATTTTCAGGTTTTATAGTTTCAGAATTTTAATACGGAGTAATACTTTAAGTAGTTAGTGATTATGATAAGCCCTGCGATATATACAATCATATTTTTTAGATAAATAGCTCTGTGCACCCCTGCGATGTTATCTCTATCCATACAGTCTCAAGAAAGTCTGCATTTACATCCCTGGTTTTAAGTACCATAACAATGGCAGGACATTCAACTGTGAACCAAAATTTCTCATCATTCAATCATCATACGAATTGATGTTCTGCCCACTTCCTTTCAAATTGAATGTTTCTCAGATGGAGGAACCTGTAACTCACTAAGTTAAAATGTGTTTGATATGTTTGATCTATTTTTGAAGTTCTGTAGACTAGGTTAGATACATTTCTCTTTGGTTAGATATTTTCTCATAATGGACTGGTTAATTGTTTATAAGATATAGGAATTCTATATTTATTATTTTCTCACTTAAATGAGCTATGTACATTTTCACAAGTAATATGAAACTTTACCCACCATATTCATACTAATTCTTGCTTCTCATCAGTCATCCGTGGCCTTCTAAGATCATTGCTTCTCATATTACCCCTTTTTGATTTATGAAAACAATAGGTATGATCATTAGCCTTATCCCATTAAAAAGACCTCAGGCTCAGGATGTGCCAGCTTATCATCATCAAGTGCTGAATTTAGTGCCGAATCCATGACCTTAGGATGCAAATACCTTGCTTCTCACCGAAAGGTCTTCAAATGAGGTTCGCGGTGTAAGTTGCATTGCGAGATGAAATTACAGAAAATTTAACGCGCAATATGAGCAACGTCGTTGATGGTGTATGGCGATTGCATGTGTTCTATTATATATTTTCTTTTCTTAACGAATTTTCGGACATTATAATTTGCCGTGTAATAACGTTAGTACTTTTTGTGTATTTTATGTTTCATTTTATATTTTAATGAACTTGAATGAATACTTATGTGTATTTTATGTTTTATTTTATTGTAATTTAAATGCATGTGAACTTGTTAATATATTTCATAGAAAATATATTTTTTAAAATTACCCTTAATGGTAATTTTTAAAAAGTAAACAATTGATTAAGTAGTCTTATACTCCATAATTTCCTAATCAAGCAAAAATAGTTTACTACTAAAGTGCACCCCATATATTTAAGTATTTAACACAAATAAGCAAATATCCTTGATGGTAATTTTACATTCAATCACCAATTCCAGCCAACACATTACCAAACACTTTCACTTTAGCCTTTTCAGGCTTTTCAGGCTTTTCAGCCGGTCCAGCTGGTTCCAAACAGGCCCTTAGTACGTTCATGACATTGAGTGCTTTTTTTTCAAACACTTTTTCTTTCAGAATATTCCACTGATACAATCTTTTGAATCCAAGCTCATAGTTTCATACTTAATTTAAGCATAGAAATAATTTCAAACTTAACTCTCTTTAGTCTTTATTGATTTTTCTCCTACTTCTTAAAAGTTATGTTCCCGTTATTCTCTTTCATTTTTCGGTTAGTTTTTCCCTCACATATCCAATAAGAATATAAGGGCATAAGGCCACATATTTCTATTTGAAAATTGTCTTAAATTGATTCGTGAGAAAAGAGCTACATACACTGATACACTCTTCGAATCTTCTATTAATCTCAATTCATCAACTAAAACCTCAAATCCTCGATGCTGAAAAAGTGTCGTATAGCAATATTTTACATACTCTTAAAAACAATCAATATAAATGTTTTAGTTACCAGTTTGTGACCTTGTTTAGTACTACGTATGTAACTCTTAGAAAAATTCAAACATTGATACGTTTGGGTTTTTTTTTATAAAAATATTACTAAAATAAAATCAATTTACAAAAATACAACTATTAGTTACTACAATGTGGTGTTATAGTAACTTATGTTTAAAAATTGAACATGAGTTACTATGATTTTATTACTACGATTAAACATGTTTCATTTTAATCATAGATATGTAATTGTTTTTATGTTTGGGGAAAAAGTTCATGAAACTTCAGAAGAGTCAAAGTACGGGAAAATATAAAATCAATACTACGTAATAAACAAGTCAGAACCTCTAAATAAAATAAGCACAATAGCGTTAAACTTCTAAACACAAATGGACGTAAAATTTTAAAATGTAAAATTGACAAATAATTTGAAATAGGTGCAAAAGTACTAAATGTTTGAACATAAAAACCATACTTTTTTATGTATGTTATTATAAATTTTATATTCATTTATATAAATTTTATAAAACCCATTTTTTGCTTTTTGTTATGCAAATTCTACATTTGAGTTTCATTTTTATTTTAAAAGTGTTGTTTTTTAAGATTTTTAATTATTTATAGATTTTGACATTAGTTACAATTTCTATTCTAAAAATCATTCTAGGCGCCCGACTAGTCCCCGCCTAGGCGCTAGGCGGTGGCCGGGGGCCACGATTTTCGTCTAGGCGCTCCGACTAATTGGTTTGCTGTCTAGGTGAATTAGTCGGCCACCTATAGCACCTAGTTGTCCGCCTAGAGCGCCTAATCGGGCGCCTAGGCCGTCTAGATTCGCCGAACATTACTTCACTTTTTAATTTAAATTTCCAAGCGATATACGTACTTTAACTTTAGCCATGGATATAAAGAAATGAAGTTGTAAATTAAGATAAAACTATACATGTTTATATATATATATACCTAAATTTTATCATTATTTATATTTATAACATAATGCAGTTAAGTGATTAGTTATCATATATTACGTATGATTAGATGTACATATGTATTTTATACACACAAAAATAAAATATTACTTACCATATTTATGCAAAAATATAGATAAAAATTCAATTTCTATGTCTCCGACTAGTCCCCAACTAGGCGCCCCGCCTAGCCGCCTAGGCGCTAGGCGTTGGACTGGCGCCCGACTAGTGTCTAGCGCCTTTTAGAACATTGGTTACAATCTTTTTAGTTTTTTTTTCTACGCTTTTGAATTTTTTGTCTTCTTATGAATTTTATCAATATCCTGAAAACGTTAAAATATCAGTAAAGTGACTGGATATGGTACTTTTGACATACATGATAGAGTGACCAAAAAGAACCTGATAAGGTACTTTTTACTAACTTCTTTCACTAACATTGGGATATTAAGAGGTGACACACGAAATTTATGTAGCCCTTCTAAACCCTTCAAAAGTTGATTTTTTAGTTCCCCTGATTCTGGAGGTTTTGAAGGTTTACAAAGTTGAATGACGATTTAATCCTAGATACAATATGCTATCTGCTACAAGCTTCCTTCTCTATGTAATTTAAATCTGCTCTCAAGCCAATCCACCACAAACTGCTCCAACACCTCTAATTTTCAATTTTTTTACTCCCAAACTGGGAGGAATCCCTTCCCATTTTCTTCCCCTCCAGTTCTCTTTACTCCCCCTCCAAACTCCCAAAAACACCTTTAATTAATTTTTAGGCCTGTATGTAACTTTTATGCTCTATTCCATGCTTTTCACGTGGCTTGTTCACAACTGATTTTTACTCTGGCAAACGATTATACATGTCTGTTTGTTTGAACCATTTTCTTACTTCTAGTCCATCTAGCTAATACAAGCCAATATATTTGCTGATCTAAAATAAGCCAAGCGTAAACAAAATTTTGACGTCCATAAGTCTATATTAGTGGTGGACCCGGTTCGGGCCACCCAGCCCGTGAACCGGCCCGGCCCGCTACTGTGCGGGCCTGGGACCGGGTGGTGACCCGAACCGGTGGGATAGCGGGGGGGCGGGGGGGCGGGCACGGGTAGGGCAAATGGGGACCCAGCCCGGCAGGGTCCGAGCCCGGTTCGGGCCCAATTCCTTTTTTTTTTTTGTTTTTTCATTATTTTTGGGTTTCCATCGGATTGGGCTGGGTGTTTTTTTTTGGGGAGGGGGGTTGAGGGGTGGGGGGTCAGGGGTAGTTAGGAAAGCAAAAAAAAAAACCAAAAAAACAAAAAAAAAAAACATTCGACCCGACCCGGCCCAGCCCGGACCCGGTGGATACCCGGGCCGGTCCCGGGTCTACCCATTAAAACTCAAGGGCCCGCCAGGCCTAAGCCCGGCCCGGGTCCATACCTAGTCTATAGGGAACTACGGTTTTTATAATGATTAAAATTTAAAATCCATTTTTATTTAAAAGATTATTTTCTTGTGATTAACACCATTTGAGAGAATTACCTTCAAATCATGAACTAATAGCTATTTTAAATTTTAATTTGAAGATTGTTATGAATGGAATTATGCGATGGAGTGGAATGCTCAATAAGTTGAAATATGTTAGTATTGAGGATTCCTCATGGATTCGGGCCGGCCCGGGTCCGGGTCAGGTCTAGGCCCGAGCGGGCCGGCGGTTCAGAATTGGTGGACCCGGGACCGGCCCAGGTCCGGGCCTCCGGTTTTTTTTTTGCTTTCCTAACCCCTTCACCCCCCCCCCCCCCCACCCAAAAAAAAACCCCTCCTAACCATCAAGCCCAACCCGGGTGGAACCCCAAAAAATGAAAAAAAATAAAAAAATCAATTTGACTCGGGCCCGACCCGGACGGGCCGGTTCACCAAATGTAAGACCCGAGCCCGGACCCGGCCCCCCGGGCCTAGGCCCAACCCGGACCCGAGAACCGGGCCGGTCCCGCACAGTTGCTATCCATACAAAAAAGGCACCATACAAAAATATTAAGATTGTTTAGAAATTTTATTTGTGGATTTACCACAAAAAAGGCAAATCCAAATAGAACAAGACAGTCAATCCTTTTAAATTCTTTACATCTTTAGATTAGTTAGTACAAAATATATAAATGAATGAATTAATAAGAATATAACCAGTAAATTAAATGAGTTTGAAGTTTTGAACCAATATTTTATTTTTCCGGACGTTTCCCCCCATATTTATCATATACTTGATATTTTATCCCGAAGTATTTCCCTGGTTCCAAACGGAGCATAAGAATAGTCACAGAAGTGTAAAGGAATCACACATGAATTAATATTTTTTCCAATAAAAGGAATGATGGAAAAACAATTCAATAAAAAATGCATATTCACATACATGACCAAATTGGAAACCAAATGTTCCCTACTTCTCTACAAACGCTACTTACAAGAGGGTCTCCAGAAATGCCAAGACTGCCATGCCAGCTGCCCAAACATCATCGTCCAACACATGCTCTGCTGGGGAATGACTTATTCCCCCACGGCAACGCACAAACAGCATCCCGACCTATTTACAGGAACAACGAACAATCTCACATCAGTTAAATATGAAACAATAATCTAACATACAAGACTTCAAACTATTCATCCCATCAATTTAGCTTTTTAAGATAACCCTGGATTTATACGGTATTGGTTAACCCGATCCCTAACATTGGTGTGGCACTCTATAATGAAAATGCAATTAGACAAAATGTAGGACTTTGAGGGCATGTGCCCTGATGAAAAAAAAAAGTCATCTTCTAAATGAGGAGTACTCCGTGATATGAGCATAAGAATTTTTAGAATGGCCAGAAGTCACTCGTCTGATCGTCTCATCTATGAATTTGAATTTTTTTAATTGAACCACTATTCTTACAAACATTATTATCCAAGAGGCTATTATTATATGTAGAGGCAGCCGAGGCATACCTTGGTTAGATGAGACATCGCCATGGCATCGTGTCCGGCCCCACTCATCAGTACAGGCACATCATCTATTGTCTCACCAGTGATTTTTCTAAAAGCAGAACGGGCTGCGGAATTTAGCTGTGCACTCAGTTCGGGATCACAAACCACCGCGTTTGCATCATGCTGATGAAAACAAATCCAGCATCAAACTTGTTAGTTAGCGGTCTTTAAATAAATTTAGGCACACCCATGGGCGGAGCTTGGGGAGGGCCATCCCTGGCCCTGGCCCAGCCCAAATTTTAAAAATGCATGTATTTTTAGTGTAAAAATTCCGCGTAAAAAATTTTCGAAAAATATTCTTTGTATCGGCTCAGTCCGGCCTAGTGCTCTAGCTCCGCCCCTGGGCACACCGGTCCATGTCATAAGTGGGAAGGTATTATAAAAAGAGGGGCTTTGCACCTTTCGTTCAATGACGCAGAAAACATTACGCCTGTCGCATAACTGATGCATGCGGTTTGAATATTCATAAATGATAGCTTCTCGACCTATGTCATCCATTGCCCGTATGTCTACAGTGAATTTAACCTGCAAACATGTGTGTCATTTCATCTAAGAACTATGGCTAAAACAAATCATGAACTTTAAATATATATTTACTTTTAATTATTTTTATGTATATTTTCAATGAGAATTCCTTAAATGTGTTATTCACTAACTTATGCAGAACTAATAAAAAATTACTAAAAGAATAAGAAAACTAGAAATACATGATTTTTCAACTCTTGCTAGTCTTAATCATTGATTCACTAATAACATTAAATGGATGGTTTTCATAATTTAAGTTCTGAATTGACAAACAACCTATCTTGTGAGTCTTGACTTGACAGAACTTCTAATGTATATGCTACTTCTAGTTTCTATGTTCCAGAAATACAACTTGCCTCGCCTGGGATGACATTACTTGCACTTGGCCAAGTTGAGATTTCTCCAACAGTGCAGACAAGAGATCCTGCAAGAGATTTGACTGTAGATGATGGGCATTGATCATCATATGAGAGATAATATTCGGGTTGTTTACAAAGGTTTTCCAATAATACAATCAGTTCGGCAGATGCAACCATAGGATCCTGGCGCATATCCATGGGCACAGTTCCAGCATGCCCTTGTGTGCCTCTCACAATAACCTTGCATTGTGGGGAGATACAAGATTATCAATACTAGCAACTTTTACCGATCTCTGTTTTATTAAAACTAATAATATTAATATTAATTCTGACACGAAAAGGTCAACATTTACATCTGATATGACAACAGTCTTATTGGTGGGTATTAGTGAAAAAATGCAGAAACAGCATGGTACAGGTGAGACAAAGCAAAGTACATGGGCTGTGAGGGTATGTGTCTAAATGAAATTTTTTGGTCGGTCCTTATGGGGTGTGTGCCTCTAAGAGAAAAGAATACCTCGTATTATAAATTACAGTCATTTGGTGTTTCCAATCATTCAAAGAGTTTTAAGCTTTCTCTACGGGCTCTCCTACCTTCAATACTTTCCTTCATGCCGATTAGTTAGTACACACAACACTAGTTCATGGTTGAGACTTGAGATTAACTTAGCTAGTGGAAGGGGTAGAAAAGAGCTATGGCCTCACATGAGCATCTTAAGGAGGCAAGTCCATGACAGTAATTTAGATAAATCGCACAAAAGGCCTTGAGCAATTAGGAATAACCAGAAGACTCATTCAAACAAAAAGTGCATGAAAGAAGGAAAGTTATAGATATTCTTAAGCAGCACCAAAGAAATTTACCTTTAGCCTCGTCTGTCCTGCAATGCCTTTAACTAAACCAAGAGGAAGGCCACGATTCTCTAATACCGGACCCTGCTCGATGTGAATCTGCAAAAACATGCTCCCGTAAATAACATGATGAGCAACTTGAGCTTCTTTATTACCACTTATTTAGGTGCTAACATACTCCATTCAAACAATGTAAATTCACAACGTACTTCAATATATGCGGAAACAGATTCTTGGTCATATTTGAGCTTTGATAGGGCCTCTTCAGTAATTTCAATAGAGTTTTCTCTTAGAGCACCTTGTACTGTCACTCCACTGCAATAATAGCATATTAATATATATGAAAGAATAGCACCCCAATAGGTATATAATATCAGACTTCAAAGTTACACATGCAGACCCCTTATCATTTATATGCAATGTTGTAACTGGTAAAGTACCGGCAATAGCCGCACTACCCAAGAAGGTAGACTGAAACCTAACCCCTTCCTCATCACTGAAAGCAATGACCTGCAAAAGGACGGAAAATTGGGAGCTAGACATTAGATAAGCTACCAATTTAATTTCATTTGAGGTATTGTGGTACAATACTACAATTAGAACATACTTAGACATACTGGTTTGTTTTGAAGCAGCAACTTATTTGTCCTCGAAGTGATGAGTATACAGTGGCAGTATTCCATTGGGTCGGTGATATAAAATTTATTATGTTGATTAGTTCCTTAAAACTAATCACTCAGACAAAGTCATGCAAACAAATGGCATAGGTACAAAGTTTTATGCTTAATGCTCGTCCAGCCCCAACTTCTAATGATTAAATCACAACAACAACAACAACAACATCCAGCCTTAGTCCCAAAAGATTTTTAGGTCGGCAAACATATCGTACCCAAAAGGAAAAGAAAGATATGAAAGATAAAAAGATAAGGTTCAATAAAAAAGATGAGCTTAAGATAAAGATAAATATAAGAAATATATAAAAATGAAAGGGTAAAAGAAAGATAAAAGATAAAGTACGATAAAAAAAAAGATGAGCTAAAGATAAAGATAAATATGTAGTATAAGATAGATATAAAAATGAAAGGGTAAAAAGAATATATGTAAAATAAAAAGGATGGAAGAATAAAAACATAAGAATGATAAAGAAGATAAAAGGATAAATAGGATCATAAGAGATCAATCTGCCACACGAATACCCGCCCTCCACTTAAATAATGAGATAAATTTCCAAAATTGTCATCATCATCCAAGTACGACAATGGTAAATAATGTTAAAATCCCCTATCAAGAAATCAAAGAATGAATGATGAGTAAGAAGATGATTAAGATCTGGATTGAATAGTTAACATATTGTAAATGTTTTAGTGTACTTTTACCTTATGGCATAATTGAGTAATCCCTAACCAATATTAAATTATAATGTCAAATATCATGTGACTCAGATGAGGTTACTTAGTTGCAATCTCAATGTATTAATACAAAGTAGTTGTATAATAAACAATTGTTCCATAAACAACAATTTACAAGAACAAACTCAACATCACACTTTCAGAAAAATCAAGGATTGCTCCTAGTGATATTTGAAAAAATGACTAAAGGGTTCTGCAAATTTTGAAGCCAATGAGGTAACTTAATTAGAATCTATTAGTCAGCGGCGGACACAAAGGGGGGCAATGAGGGGCTGCCGCCCCTCCGAAAAAAAAAAATTCTAGGTATATTTACCCCGAAATTTTTAATATATATGTATTTGTATGTATATTCTTCTACTGCCGCCCCTGCGATCGGGAAATCCTGCGTCCGCCGCTGCTATTAGTTATAGAGATTTTATGTCTTCATGGAGAGGCACTAGACCACTCCCAAGATACAGCACAAATTCACAGAAGCATTGTAACCACATTGACCTTCTAGAAGGAATTTGACTTTGAATCTCACCTCAACTGGCTGTCTTAGTTTCCCTAACCGCCCAGTTTCTTTCAAGACCTTCAAAGCAGATACCGCCGATACTATTCCCAGTGAACCATCAAAATATCCAGCATCAATAACAGTGTCCTGTTAACAGCAAGTAATCATAGTAGGTGGCAGAAAAATGTAATAATGAAAGTCTTTAAAGTGAAAAAGGAAATGCATTGCCTTACCAAGTGAGATCCAATTAGCAAAGCCTTCTGAGTTGGATTAATTCCGTCGATTCGTCCATGAACATTTCCCATGTGGTCAATCCATCTGGAATTATTGGCAGTCGTAATTAAGTTTCTTGAATAATATGAAACCATGAGCGCAAGGCAAAACTCACGTTCTCAAACCGGCATCCTCCATCCATGAACGAATAAGGTTCCCAGCCCTTATAGAAGCAGGACTTTGGAATGTCCTCTCAAGATAGTTAACTGCATCACTCACCTGCAAAGGAGTAGTGTTATAAATTTATAATAGGGTACTGATGCATATAAACGAGTAATAAAATATTGACATAGCATTTGACTTAGCCTCACAAGTATGAGAAAATGAGACATCCCTATTCCCTATGTGGTCATTGCATCCAAAAGAGTGTCGAAAAATCGGGAATTATGGGATTATGTGATGTCAGCACTAACTCTAGAACTAGACACCTCAAGGCGAATCTATAATGCAAAAAGTGTATCACTATGGAGAGATAGAATCTAATGGTAAAACACTGACTAGTCATCACCAATTGACTGTATGATGGAAATGAGAACCTTTAGCATTAGAACTCCGTAGTTAAGCATGCTCAACACAGAATTAGACACCTCAAGATGAACCTTTAGCGTTTGAAACACTATGAAGGGATGTGGTTAAAAGGTTAATGCCCGCCTACTTATTATCGATTGGGTTTTAGAAGTATACGAGAAACATGCTATAAACATGTTTAGAGATCCAGTCTCTTAAAATCTTTAGATCTTTAGAACAAATCAAAGAAGAAAATATAGGTGGAAAAAACAAACACAAACACAAAACTAATGGAGATCAAATATCATGTTCAATTGTTGGGTTAACATTTTCTAGAAGAGGGTGATGCAAGTCATCAGAGTGAAAGAAGCCAATACCTTTCCAAGCTCATATAGCCTTGCCACAGCCTCCTGCTTCAGTATTTCTGAAAACAAGATAGTTTTAGAGCTTTCTACATTGCTGGTGCCTGGTTAAAATATACAGTTAATTAATCCACGTTCAAGATTTAAAGGATCAAATCGTTTAAGCTGACACACCAGCATAAAAAAATAGTAGTCCTATAAGCAGAAGCATATAGTACACAGTAATAATCGCTCCACAAGTGAAACTCAAATTTCATGTGGGCAGAAGTGACTTGAGACAGTCAGACTACAATGCTTTGACAGCTGAGCTTAGGACAGAACGCTTTACCTTAATGATATCCTTAATGAAACAAGGCATGGTCCATACACCAACCAATGCAACATTATCCCAATTTAATATTTATTAAAATATCAGTTAAGGGAAAAAAGTTCAGAGTTGCTAATTCATTACCAAAGGAATACACTCCAATCTATCAGAACCTATAATTATATGGACACACATAAAAATTAACAAGTGAATAAAAGGTATGCAAAATACTGAAACTCACATTAATATATACATACTCCCTACGTTCTATTTTATGTGTTGAGCTTTTCTTACATGTAAGATAAAAGCAAACTAGAAACAACAACAAAACAACATTCAAGCCTTAGTCCCAAAAGATTGTAGAGTCAGGTAGAGAGACTGAGAGAGTGAATTAAAAAACAAGGCAAGAACAAAGATGCACCTTCACTAATGAATAGTAACTAAGACATAGTAATACTACTGAAAACGGTGAGTTAAGAAGGGGAGTGCTAGCTTTAAGAATCATAGCTTAAAAGAATTATTAAGAGTTGCGAACAGGAGCCACCCCTCACCAACTCCATCAAATTTATATACTTATAAATCAACATAAAAAGTTCGAATCTTTAATATATTATCAGAGCCCATTGGGTTTAAACTATCAATCGAATAGTCATACATCTCAATACACCTAGATTTTAAGATTGATATGCTCTAATAGCCACACATCTTAACATTATGAGAAGATTGGTAAGATACTCCTTGATAGGTTGCTTTCAAGATAGAAGGCCAAATCTTCACATCTATCAAACAAAATGAAAGGAATGAGAAGACCAAACAAGAGGGCATAATTAATCACCGGAAAATGCGACGACCGGAGACAGAGAGAGGTGGAGGAGCAAGGCAAAGATGGGGAAAAGGAGTCGTCGGATGGTTGCATGGGTTTTTACGGACGAATGGGTCGGAAGAGATGAAGGGTGAGAAGGTGACGCCATGGCCGCCACGCCAGAGAAGAGAAGGGAACGAGCGGTGGAGGCAGAAAGACACCTCTTTTTACGTGAAAGGCTAAAAGCAAAGTGCCCTTGGTTCATTCTTGAACCCAATCATACACACACTGATATGGCTTTCGCTTTCTGGTGAGTCTTTGGCGGCCGTCACCTGTGGTGCCCACTGAGTATATACGGACGGCACATCGTGGGTTCCACGGTATCACTTGTTCGTGAACCGACCCAAAGGGATAGCGGTGTGTTTGGATGGGCAGGACCATGGGAGAGAGCAAGTAAACAGTAAACACATCTTGAATGTTTTTGGGATGAGTTAGGTTGGTTTATACTTTATACTCCCTCATTTGGTATGAAAAATGTTTGGATGTACACATTTTGGTGTACATTTTTTGTACATCTGTCTGTCTCACACGTACAGATTTGTCTGTTCACGAATAACTCTAAATTCTGTGTGCGTGAGACAAACGAGTGTACGAAAAGTGTACACCAAAATGTGTACACCTAACACGGACCAATTTGGTAAAGGTTTGTGTATGTGTATTTATTATTTAGTATGGTAGATTTCTAATTTGATTTGATTTCGGATAGAAATCAATCAATTTTAAGTAGTAGTAGCAAAGTAACATACTTTGCTCACATTGACCAGTAATAATATTACTTCCTCCATCTCTATTTAAAGTTCCCACTCTTAATTGCATTCATGTTGAGAAATTGAGCTTGTTTGACATTGTTTTAATGTTGTTTGGTAACTTTGACACTTTTTGATATTGTTTTGCAGTGTTTTATTTTTCAAATAAGGAAATGGACTTTATTAAGGGACGTCAAAAAAAGGAAATGTGAAAACTTTAAATAGGGACGAAGGTAGTACAAGTCATCAGATTTAGTCATTTCAGCTATTTCTGTCAAAGTTTTATCCATAGTTGCAAATTCTGTGTTATCAAATGAGCTCTAAGGTATAAAATGGTTAAGACAACCAACATGTCAAAAAGAGATCAAAATCAACCAATACAAAGTTTTTTTTGCTTTTGGATTACTTGATATCGTGTCAATGATAAAAACATTTTTTCCAATGCATTTAAAGATTGACAAATGTAAAGCTTGGTTAATCATCAAGGGGTACTCCCACAAGCCTAGTCGTGACTATTCCAATGCATTCAGTCCAGTCATAAAAACATTCACCGTTCGTACTTTGACACTACATGTATTCGCCAGGAAGACATAAATGATTCTTTTTTCATGATACTTAGCATGTTTAGGTGTGCCTTGACCAACCACATGAGTATGTATGTTGTTCCTTCCGGCCAAGCCTTCTCGTTTGTGTAAGTCATACGGAGTACGAGACTCTTTATGCTCTCAAAAGGGCTCCCCGAGCACGGAATAGTGAGTTATTCTAATATTTACTTCATTTTGGGGCTCCATTACTTTCTTGACATTGATGCTATCTATGCATTATCTAGTCTATTATTATCTTGGGGGAATATATTTAGGATATATTTAGTTCGTCTAATGTCGTTTGTAAGATTTTCTCAAAAGTTCTTGCTAATAGGATGAAACTATGAAAGGGTTTTTGAGCTGTCTTATTGGAGAAAATAATCAAAGTGCTTTCATACTGGGGAGATCTAGTTGATAATACAATAGTGGCTTTTGAAACTTAGCACTATTTAAAGTGAAAGTAATATGGCAGGGAAGATTTTGTAGCCCTTAAATTAGATATGAGCAAAGCTTATGATCGTGTGAGCTGGGACTTTTAAGGGCAATGATGATTAAGATTGGGTTTAGTGAGAGATGGATTAATATGATTATGGCATGTGTTTCCACTGTTAATTATTATGTCCAATTTGTAAAATAGTTTATAGGGCCGATTTGTTATGGGGAGATGGTTGCGCCAAGGAGACCCTCTATCGCCCTATTTATTTATTTTAGTTGTTGAAGGATTATGTGCTATGTTGAGAAGAGATGAAACTAAAGGTGATTTACACGGAGTTGCAGTCTGTAGAGGAGAATCCAAAAACTACGAGTAGTGAATGTGATTCGGTGAGGTGAATTTTGCACGACTACGAGGTTTTGTCTAGCCAAGTAGTTAATTGTGCCAAATTCTCCATGTCTTTTAGTTCGAATGTTGGTGAATCAGTCAAGCAAGATTGCTGTCGGATTCTGGGGATACCGCGGGATGGGGGCAATCGAAGTATCTGGGCTTGCCGGCCTTGATAGGAAAAAATAAGACCGTCATCTTAGGGTATCTTTGTGACCAAATTCATAGTAGAATCAAGAGCTGGAACAATCATTTTTTATCTCGAGTTGACAGAGCAGTTTTTATTGAAAAATGTGGTTAGTCTAAGCCTAGTTATGTCATGAATGTTTTCTTGTTGCCAAAAGATCTATGTGATGATATAGAAAAGTTAATGAATGGGTTTTGGTAGAGAGGCTAAAAAATGGATCATAAAGGGCTGAGGTGTAGGAGCTGGAATGGCTTATGTAAACCAAAGAAGTTAGGTGGCTTAGGCTTTAGGGGGCTGAGAGAGTTTAATTTGGCTATGCTGAGTAAACAAGGTTGGCGGCTAACTACTGATGAGAATTGCCTGATGAGCCGGGTTCTTGAAGTAAGGTATTTCCCGAATTCAAATTTTCTTAATGCAAATTTGGGTAATAATTCTTGTTTTATATATCTGGAGAAGTATTTTTTAGACTCAAGTTGTTCTTAAAAATAATATTAGAAGGCGTGTTGGGAATGACATTGACGTACGGGTCTGGGCAGACGCATGGTAACCTGGACAGGGGTCCGGGAAAATTACATATGCCCGTCTCCCAGGTGTCCGTGATATGAATGTAGTGGCTTTATGTGATATCACAGGGAAGAATTGGAATACTGACAGAGTCTATTCCTTGTTTAATGAAGAGGATAGGAATTAAATCCTTACTATTCCGATCAGCTCACAAGATAGAAAGGACGAGTACTGGTGGAAGGGGGAAAACAATGGTTTGTATTTAGTGAAAAGTTGTTACCGCCTACTTATAGGCAAACTTCAAGCGGAAGGATGGCATGGATGGAAGCATTTATGGGATCTTAAGGTACCACCAAAGTTTAAATTTTTTGTTTGGCAGGTTTTGGATGGTACACTCCTAGTCGTTGACAACTTGAGGATGAAAGGCATGGATGTCCGAATCCATAGATCCATGATATGCGGTCATGTATTCGAGTTCAAAAAGTGTGTCGACTGGCAAGCAGCTTTATGGGGTATGTGTAGCCCAGGCCACGGCTGAGAACTAGTTGAGTCAGCAGCTGGATAAACTTGATATGGAGGGTAGAAGTAAATTTGTGACTATTCTTTGGAGCATTTGGAAAATGAGGAATAATGAGGTTTGGGAAAATCAAGTACATGAGGCTGCTTGTGTTTTAAATGCCCCGCTAGCATGTTGGCTAGCTAGAAAGAAGCTCAAGACTCTGGGAGGGACAAATGGGTTAAACCTCAAAATGGAAATATTAACATTAATGTGGATGGAGTGGTCAACCAGGAAGGGAAAAAGAGGGTGGGGCTGGATTGCTAGAGACGAATATGGTGATTTTGTTAATGCATTGGGAGATTCTCACACAACGGGCTGGACCGCGGTTGAGACAGAGGCGATGGGCGTGCGTGATGCTTTGCTGGTAGCGGTGGAGGAAGGTTGGCAGCATGTGGAGATAGAGAGTAGAGACAGATGCTTTATCTATGGTTCAAGGCATTAAAAAGGGAGAGAGTTCATCTTATCTCCATCTCATTATTGATAATATCACGAAAAAGTTAGAAACAGAGATCTAGTATGTGTATTCTCTTTTTCGTAGAAAGTCTGCGAATTGTGCTGCTCATGCGCTTGCAAGGGCACACGTTTGTATCTCAAATCAGAAGGTTAATTGTGATGATATATCTCAATGTATTGTAAGCCAGTTGGCGAATGATTTGTTGGTCTAATATATTATTCAGTTTGATGATAAAAAAACATTTTTCATAAAAGTATAAAATTTATAAATTATATACAAATATACTCCCTCTGTCCCCCTTATATTGTCCCGTTTTACCTTTTTGGGAAGTCCCACTCATATTGTCACATACCATATTTGGTAAAGTTTGTGTGGATCTAAATCATTCTTACTTTATTCTTACTTTATTAATTAATATCAACCACATAAACCCATTTTTCTTAATAATCGTGTCACCCTCCTCCGTACCAATATAAAAGGGACGGAGGTAGTAATAATTAAAATCGTTATCCAAAGTTTGTAATCATTGATAAAAAAAAATATGAAAACTTTTTCGAGATGGAGGTAGTACTTTACCTACTCTGACTACAATTGTTTCATGCCGTACACATTAAAATCTCACATTAAATATGACATCTCTCACATTAAATATGACATCTCTTACATTAGTAAAGTAGTTATTTATTTTTTCAAAAATTTACTTTAGCATTGGGCAATTGATATCGCGCCTTGCGCGACTAAACGCTAGTGGAATATAATATGAGGGAGACACATATGCAGTTTATGGGAGTAGATTTATAATTTAATGAGCTATCTCTTTTTTATATATAAATAGAATAGAATAGATAACTTAACACAATATTAAGATGTTTTTGCTATTTTCGATTCCTCGACTATTATGTCATTGACACTTTTGGTACTCGACTTTTAAATTTTCCAATTTTAGTCCTTGATTATTATTTTAGAGACATTTTTAGTCCTCGATCGACTTCAAAGTTCTCACATTTAGTCCCCAAAGTATTATCAAATTGACACTATTAGTCTTTCCACTATGATTTTGACATAATAAATGAAGGACTAAAATGTCATTATTATAATAGTTGAATAATCAAAAGTGTCACTTTAATGAAAATCGGAGGGTTAAATATGAAAATTTTCAAAGATGGGTACCAAAAGAGTCTCTAGCACAATAGTCAATGATTAAAAGTGGAATAAATCAAAGTTGGGTACCAAAGTGTAAATGACATAATAGTCGAAGGACTAAAAGTGACAAAAACTCCAATATTAAGATATCTTTTACTTTTCAATGTGGAGTAACTACTATTCTGAACAATACAAAAATCATCATGACTTTGA